CCTTTGCAGTTCCGAAATATTTCAGTTTCTTCAGCCTTCCCTGGTAGTGGAGCATTCCCTGAAGTATTTGAGACACCTGAGAAGTAATTGTTTTGACTTAAAATCATCTCGTGTAATGGGTATACAGGAAAGATGCTTAACGAGCTTTGATGGTTGCTGAGGATTGAGATATTATTTATAAATTCACTCAAATGTGTTGAGGGCTGTGCCAGAGACCTTATGAAACATTCACGTTTCTAGAGCTGGCAGAAGGCTGGTAATGATGGGCCGAGACTCATTTCACTCCGTGAAGGGCAGGGTGGTCAAGGCGAGTTAGAAATCATGAGTTTGAATCAAAGCATGGTATTCTAATTAAGTTCTCATAAAAGTGATTTAGTCTGGTATGCCAAAGTCATCTTCCCAGTTCCTTCAGCCTAGAAGTCCTCCCTGGTGGTCCGTACGTCCTCCCTCGCTCTGGTTTTGAGCCTTGCGTTGGGCGCTTGTTCCCTGGTGCCCATGCCATGGGTGGGGCTCCTCGGTGTGGCAGCCCAGCGTGGGGCCATGGAGACCCGTCGGCGAGGCAGGAACGGCCAAGGACGGCGCAGCGTGAGGCGGCAGTGTCGCAGGAGCGTGCCAGCAAGAGGAGAGCCTGACAAGGGGCGAGGTGGGTTTTTCAACACGAGGGAGAAGCAAGTAACAGATGAGTCAAAGTTTTTTGTTTCCTGTTTTTAATATTCACTGAAGCTTTCAGCTTGCCAGCAGCAGAAGCACTCACAAGGTATTTTTGGATCAGATGTGCTAATAAGCTTATTGACAGATAGCCAGGTAATGTTTATATAGAAAAATTAAACATATCTCTTCACTTCTTGCCCAGGGAGATGGTGGAGTCCCCATCCCTGGAGGGGTTCAAAAACCGTGTAGATGTGGCCCTTCAGGACATGGTTTAGCAGGCATGGGGGTGTTGGGGTGACAGTTGGACTGGATGATCTTGGAGGTCTTTTCCAACCTTAACGATTCCATGATTCTGTGATTCTTCCACGCTGGTTTGAAGGATGGGGGCTGTCCCCAAATCCCCATTCGGGTCCCCACTGCGATTGCAAGGTGTTTAAAATATGAGCCTGGAGGTGGGCTCGGGTGCTCGGAAGGGTGACAGCACTGCCCTTGGCCCGTGGGCTGGGGCTGGGGAGGGCTGCTCCGCACGGGGCCACGCCACCTTCTGAGGGGCGAGTCAGCCCTTTCCATCGGGAGAAACCCTGGAGGCAACAGGGAATGAAAGGTCTGAGACGGCTCCCAGCTGGAGGGTTTGGGTGATCTGTGCGGCGTCTGGGCAGCCCCAGCTTGCGAGGAGCCCTCTTCCCATGGCCACGGCAGCGGGCTGGGCTGGTGCGCGCCGCGGGGTTACCTGAACTCCATAATCCAGTGCTCTCAAAGAGGTGGGAAAGCTGTGAAGCCAGGGCGGTTCGGACAGCGAGTTCCAAGTGATATTTTCAAAGAGGTGCTCTGTAAGGAAGTTGCTTGCGATGCTGATTTTGGTGGATAAACAGCAGCTCAGGTGGAGCGATTCGTGATCAGCAGCGGGCGGTCGCTGATTGCTGCCTCTTGTACCAGCCACGCAGGCTGAACACTTCAGAAACAGATTATTTATTTTTTTTTTAATCCTCTAGATGAAGGGGTTCTGTGTTATGTTTATGTTCTGTGATTGAAGAGTGTGTGTGTGCGTAGATGTGTTTAACGTAGAGATTTTGGTCTGGAAACTGGAATTCAGATTTGGTATTTCATAAAATACTCTGAACAGTTTGATTTGAAGGACGCTCTGCTAATGAAGTGTGCCTCGAAAGAGGTGGAGTGGAACTTGCAAACCTGGTGAAATGACAATTATCAAGATTCTGAAAACCAGTAAAATTGTTTTGTTTGCTTTGGATAAATAACGGATCATTCAGCAGCAATATTCATAGTGGCTTTGTGCATTTGGAAAGCCAACTTTGGTGCCGTACCTGGTGTTAGGAAACTTTTGACACCATCCTTAGATTCTCAAATCTATTCAGTGCTAGCGAAAATGAAGTTTTCATTCAAACGTTTACTTAGTGTTTATTTTACTTTTTTACATATTGATTGGGAAATGGAAAGTGTCATTCTTCCTGCCGTGAATGCGGTGAGGTGGTTGCGTGCTCTGCGTCTGCTGGGTTTGGGGCGGCGGGGGGCTGCGTCCTTACGGAGTCACCACGCTCAAAGCTGGGTTCCTCAGATGGAGGAGAGGACATGCCCGAGGAGCTGGTCCCGGGTGCGGGCTGAAGTGGGAAGTGGGCGCTTGTGTGTGGCTGCTGATTCATAAACTGTGTGCATCCTCTCGACAGCTGTCAGAGGTTGGGGTTGTTGGCTTTTAACCGTAGCAGAATGAAATATGTCTCTCCATCAGAGATATGCGTAAGCTGTGATTGAAGTGTGATCTGATGATGCTTCGCTCTGAATAAAACCGGGAGAGTGGAAAGGCTGCTTAGCAAATTTCTGATTAGTTTTCTAATAAATTTCAGGACAGAAAAATCTCTTTGAAGTCCTATCTCGATGGCCCTTAGTAAACAGGAGAAGAACACAGAGACTTGTCAGGAAAATTGGTTTTGCAGAGGAAGGACTGGGCAGCTCGTGCTTTGGAGCAGAATGAGCAGAGGTTCTCCGGCTGAGCTGACTGCGAGTCGCTGTGCCGGCACGCTGGGGCTGCTGGAGAGTGCACACGGAGTGACGCTGGAGCACGGCGTCACAGAATCACAGAATGTCTGGGGCTGGCAGGGCCCTCTGGGGTCCCCC